CAGATAAGTAGTGGTAGTCAGTCAATACTTGCAATAGCAAATTTTAGTTGGCTAAACTCCATCAGTACCCCCAATGCACACTCTTGGTTCCTAAAGCCTTGGCTCTTGTCCATCTGCTTTCCCACCTTTGAATATTTATTCATGTTAACCCTTGTAGATTCTTCCCTCCCCCCAGCGTCTGATACACAGGATACTATTATTTTCATATGAAACAGATAGCTTGAAAGTGTCAATAACAAGTGCATATATTTGTATGTTTATAAAAGACTCAGCAGTGATAAACAGTACGTGAGCCTTTCTCTGTATATGTATGGGTATAACTGCTTTATCAGCTACCATTTGCAGACAGAGATATAGGTGCACCAAAATGCTAGACAGGTTACCAGATTGAAAATCGGTTTGAATGATGAAGGGAGACAAATTGAGATATGTAATCCAATCCAGCACCTTGGGACATCCTCTCGATATGAAAAGCGCTATATAAATGTTGTTATTTGTTGTTGTTGTAATCAAAATAGATCATACCATACAAAAAGTGGATTTTATATTATATATTACACTATACAAATGCAAGCTGTTGCTGTTATTTGTTAACGTGTAATGCCTTACCACAAATGGCATTTGAAGCTGAGTCCATAACAGCATTTAAAATTCATCTGGATATAGTTGTAATGAATATATAATATTTAAGGGTAGGGGAAAAGAGCAGGGAAATGGGATTAAAGGAGATTCCTCCAGTGGGGAAACTCAAACACAATGGCCAAATGATCACTTACTTTTCATGGCTCTGTATACTCAACCAGGAAAGACAGAGGGTGCAAAGTGGCATATTTGGACTGATGGTATTGAGTGTTATGAACAGACTGATTAAATCTTATTCTTAAATAATTAAAACATTTGATTAATTTTTTTATGGAACTCCACCACGCCCCCCCCCCCCACCCTTGCCTCCTTTAAGGCCTATTTCAATATCTTCCTTTTCGACCGGGCCTTCGGTCATCTTCCCTCCTCCACTACCCTTGCCCTCCATCCCACTCTAATCCAACCCACCCAAGGGATGGAGGGCTGGACAAACCCCTCATTGTCCAGAGCCTTGGGACATCCTGACATGAAAGGCTCTATATAAATGCTATTTGTTATTATATGAATATATTATCTCTTAATATGATTGTAAGTGAATTCTTAATGTGTATATTTGATTTATAGTCAAAAACAAGCCTGTGGTTGTACCCTTCTCTGTTATATTGCTGCTGTGATAGTTTGATTGCAAACCAAGAAATGTGCAATTAAATTTAGATAATAAATATACATGAGAAAATATCTGTGACTTTTTGACTTGTTGATATTGAAGCAAATTAAAAATTTGTAAAAAAAGAATGGTCTTTTTTCCTTGAATGAGGAGTCCTGTAGATCAAGTGGTTAGAGCACTTGACTGGCAAGCGAGAGACCTGGGTTCGATTCCTGGCAGGGCGAAACCTTGGGCAAGTTTCCTTACTCCACACGCATGATGATAATACCCTCAAGAAAAAAGGAATAATAAATTGGTCACTTCAATCCACGACTGTTTGTGGAACACTGCTGTGCGCAATTAGCTGCCGTATTTCACCCACAAAGTATACAGTCAATTCACTTTACAGTATATTCTGTGAAGTGCTTTGAGACATCCAGAAAACATGAAAAGCGCTATATCAAATGCAAGGATTATTATTATTAAATGCACGGAATAATCTTGCTACAACTGAAAAAATATGCCACAAACATAATATATGAACAATGCATTGGTACAATTTTCTGTTTACTCTCTCTCATAAGCTTATTTAATTGCCATGTAATTGTCTTTTGAGTTATATAGTTAATATCAGTTATAGTATGCACCCTCATAAGTACCAATATTGTAAAATGGTTGAATTGTGCCTGTGAGTTGATGTCACCCTCCATGGCTATTGTTACTATTAACTATAGTTATTTCAATTTGTTCTCTCCTCTCCTGGAAATAATGTAATGAGTTATAGTCCTGTGGGAGCTGGCAGTCCTCCACTACTTCATCAAAGAAACTATTCTTCATGTGTGAGCACAAGTAATGAATGTTGAACAGTTAACTTGCAATAATCCCTCCAAAAAAAAACAATAATAAATTGGTCATTTTCAATCTACGACTGTTTGTGGGACATTGCTGTGTGCAATTGGCTGCCGCGTTCACCCACAATTATACAGTCAATTCACTTTACAGTGTGTTCTGTGAAGCGCTTTGGGATGTCCTCCCGATATGAAAAGCGCTATATCAAATGCAAGGATTATTATTATTATTATTATCTCTAGGGTTTTTAACATAGGGTGAATGTCTCAAAGTATTTCACAAAGACGGAGGGGAAGTGGGTGGAAGAGATGGAAGAAACCAGGCTTGGTCAAGAACAGGCAAAATAATAATTATATTAATATTTTATTTGCATTTGATACACTGGAGCAACTATCATTTTAAGACATCTCAAAGTGCTTGACAGGGAACTGCTGACAAGAGTTGTGACTTAGTATTTATAGGCAAACATGGCAGTCAATTTGCACACAGCAATGTCCCACAAACTAATTTGGTCCAATGCCAATTTAACTGGAGGATTGTTACAGGACAGGATGACCCTACTTACTCTTTTTAATAATATCTTGGGATCTTTAACTTTAATCTAAACCACAATGACAGCAAATCAGCTGCAGAATTTGGTGTGGGATTTGAAAGAGAGATGGGGTGTGGGGGGTGATGGTCAAACTGTCCTGCTCCACTTGATAATCCTGTCCATTTGGATGCAAGTCTTGGTGACTCCGGCGTGGAGGGTGCTATATAACTCTAAGTTGTTGTTGTTGACTCTAAAAATTGAGATCATTGTTGTACTTCAATATGCTGGAGTGGACATTCTCTTGAATACACATAACATGTGAATTATGAACTTGGTGTGAGTATACATTTTATTTGGTCAGCCAAGTGTCTGACACGTGCAGAAACCCATCACCATGCTTAAACGTTTCTAAACTAGACTGACAGTTCCACATTTGTATGCCACCTACATATGTGGAGTCCTGTAGCTCAGCGGTTAGAGCACTCGCTTTGCAAGCGAGAGACCTGAGTTCAATTCCAGGCAGAGGGCGAAACCTTGGGCAAGTTTCCTTACTCCTCACAGAGCCTAATAATAATCCCTCCAAAAACAAATCAATAATAAATTGGTCATTTTCAATCTACGACTGTTTGTGGAACATTGCTGTGCGCAATTGGCTGCCGCGTTCGCCCACAAATATAGTCAATTCACTTTACAGTGTGTTCTGTGAAGCGCTTTGGGACGTCCTCCCAACGTGAAAAGCGCTATATCAAATACAAGGATTATTATTATATGGAAATGTCCTTGTGTCTGGACTGAAATGTGCACTTGCTCCCTACAGGGATTCATCCTGTTTGCCTAATTCTGGGAAGCATTAGACACAGGGATTCAACAACAGATCCTGGACGTGAAATGATTAGTTTTTTACCCAACAAGACAGTCATTTCATTCTGAACTTTTCAAATGAGGTCAAAATATTTCAAAAAGGGTTTTGACACCTCAGTTGTGAAAGTTTCATGTGGACTCCTTTCAGCTGCGAATGCCATATTCTATGCATCCCACTTACACATGGAACTTTCCCTGTTTTAAAATAAAACAATAAAGTTGGCAGGAAAAGACCTCGGAACTAGTGTAAGGACTTGATCAGTTTTGGAGTGAAGGTGTGTGGGATTGTCTGAGCCTGACAAAACAGCTGGGGAACCTGGAGTCTCCTCATGGAACACAAATAGACCTGGTCTGACCAGTTGACAACACAGCTGTATTTTTATCAGTTTCAGTACATTTTGAAAGGTGTTCAGCTAAGGGCACAAATCGTTCTATTTTCCATCTGCTTTATATAATATATTACTTAATTTGTCAAATGTGTTTCAGCAAATAATACCCTATGTGGTTTGCCAATTAATCATTTGAATTAGACTTTCTATCCCACTTCCGACAGAATAGTGATGTATATAATAATCCTTACATTTGATATATACATATATATTTGATATAACATGTCATCAAAATGTCTCAAAGCACTTCACAGGACGTACTGTAAAGTGTTGTGCCTGTGTGTACTTTACTAGCGAATGCAGCAGTTTGTACACAGCAGTGCCCCACAAACAGCTATGAAATGAATGATCAATTTTATTTTGGGGGGTTGTTGGCCAGGACACCAGGAGAAACCCCTTTCTCTTTTCAAATAGTGCCCAGGGATCTTTAACATCCAACAGAACAGGCAGAAGGGACCTGGGTTTAACGTCTCAACGGAAGGACATAATTATTATAATTAGGATTATTATTATAATTAGGATTATTATTATTATAAGGACAACACCTCCAACAAATGCAGCACATCCCCAGCACTGAAATAATAATAATAGTCCTTGCCTTTGATATAGCGCTTTTCACGTCGGGAGGACGTCCCAAAGCGCTTCACAGAACACACTGTAAAGTGAATTGACTGTATATTTGTGGGCGAACGCGGCAGCCAATTGCGCACAGCAATGTCCCACAAACAGTGGTGGATGGAAAATGACCAATTTATTATTGTTTTGGGTTTTGGAGGGATTATTATTAGGCTCTGTGTGGAGTAAGGAAACTTGCCCAAGGTTTCGCCCTCTGCCTGGAATTGAACCCGGGTCAGATGGGGTTGCTTTCCCCCAAATGAAACTACATTTCCGAACAGTGCTTTTTACTGCAAAGCAAAGTCCTTGTATAAATACCCACAATCATGCAATAAACCATCAGCACAGAGATAATACAAACATCTGTTTACCCCCCCCCCCCTCCCCCCCCCAGCCCCACCCCCAGCCCCACCCCCAGCCCCAGCCCCTCCCCCACCCCCAGCCCCTCCCCCCAGCCCCTCCCCCACCCCACCCCCCCACCCCCAGCCCCTCCCCCCACCCCCACCCCCAGCCCCTCCCCCCAGCCCCACCCCAGCCCCACCCCCCAGCCCCACCCCCCAGCCCCACCCCCAGCCCCCCCCCAGCCCCAGCCCCTCCCCACCCCACCCCCCAACCCCAGCCCCTCCCCCCCAGCCCCCCCCCAGCCCCCCCCCCACCCCACCCCCCCAGCCCCCCAGCCCCAGCCCCTCCCCCCCAGCCCCTCCCCCCCACCCCAGCCCCTCCCCCACCCCCAGCCCCTCCCCACCCCCAGCCCCTCCCCCACCCCCAGCCCCTCCCCCCAGCCCCTCCCCCCACCCCAGCCCCTCCCCCCACCCCCAGCCCTCCCCCACCCCAGCCCCTCCCCCAGCCCTTCCCCCCAGCCCCAGCCCCTCCCCCCAGCCCCAGCCCCTCCCCCCCAGCCCCAGTCCCCTCCCCCCACCCCAGCCCCTCCCCCCCAGACCCTCCCCCAGCCCCTCCCCCCAGCCCCTCCCCACCCCCAGCCCCTCCCCACCCCCCAACCCCTCCCCCCCCCCCCCACCCCCAGCCCCCCAGCCCCAGCCCCTCCCCCCAGCTCCAGCCCCTCCCCCCCAGCCCCCCACCCCTCTCCCCAGCCCCTCCCCCCACCCCAGCCCCCTCCACCCCCTCCCCCCCAGCCCAGCCCCCTCCCCCAGCCCCTCCCCCCACCCCCAGCCCCCACCCCTCCCCCCAGCCCCCCCCCCACCCCAGCCCCCCTCCACCCCCCCCCCCAGCCCCAGCCCCTCCCCCCCAGCCCCTCCCCCACCCCCAGCCCCCCACCCCTCCCCCCAGCCCCTCCCCCCCCCCAGCCCCCTCCACCCCCTCCCCCCCAGCCCCAGCCCCAGCCCCTCTCCCCCAGCCCCTCCCCCACCCCAGCCCCCCACCCCTCTCCCCAGCCCCTCCCCCCACCCACCCCCAGCGCCCCCCCAGCCCCAGCCCCTCCCCCCAGCCCCTCCCCCCAGCCCCAGGGAGAGAGAGATGCCATATTGCCGGAGTGCAGAGCGAGGAGAGAGGTTGTAGCAGAGCTCACCTCCCGGGGACCAGCAGCAGCCACACACCCTCCTCTCTCCCACACACACACACACACAGTACCACTGAGCCACAGCTCCACACAGTGATGGCTGCAGTAGTCGAAATGAAATCTGTGAGTACATTTGTTATATATATATATGTGTGTGAGTGTGTGTTGTAATATATTTATATACTGTATATATATGTGTGTGATGTGTGTTGTAATATATTTATATATTATATATATATGTGTGTGTTGTAATATATTTATATACTGTGTATATATATGTGTGTGTATGTTAGAGAGGTTTATTATTTATTTTAAAATGTCTTTTGCGCAGAGATTATTTTTTTACCCTAAAAAAAAATCCATCGCTGGTCAGAGGCTTCATTTTTTTGGGGGGAAATTGAAAAAAAAAACCTCCCCCCAGTAACGCCGAACTGCAAAAGTCAAGGCAGCAAAAAGGTTACAGCAAAAAGGTCTCTCTTTTTTTTCCTGCGTGACCTATTGCAACATACTAACGGTAAATGCAAATCCCTCTCCAGCCCTTAGTTAATTCCTCTGGTGCTTTATATAATATATATATATATATACATATATTTATTTACGTTGAATTCACAGTTTGTATATATTATATTATATGCTGAATTCAACCGTTTTTTCTCTTTTTATTTATATATATATACATATGAAAGTAAGTGAGAGTGGTGCAGAAGTGAGTGAGTGAGTGAACCTTCTCTTGTTATTGTCAAATAATACGTTGGGCCAAAAAAAAAAGGGGCTCAGGCGGCGGCTCGTGGTCAACAAGTGTCAGTCAGTGGCTGTTATTTGGGATGGTTCAGTCTGGGAGGGAAACGTGTGTAACGTAGGTATGTGTGTGTGTGTGTGTGCGTGTATGTGTGCATGTGTGTGTGTGCATGTACGTGCATGTGTGTGTGTACGTGTGTGTGTGTGCATGTATGTGCAAGTGTGTGCATGTGTGTGTGTGCATGTATGTGCATGTGTGTGTGTGCATGTATGTATGTGCCAGAGTGAGAGCTGCAGAGGGGGGACCGGATGGGGGAGAGAGAGGGAGAGGGGATGGAGGGAGGGAGGGAGGGATGGAGTATCCTCGCTCTGCTCTGCTGTGCTCTGCTGTGCTGTGCTGTTGTGCAGAGCGCTGTCCTGCAGTCAGTCAGTCAGTCAGTCAGCACTGCAGCTCCGGCTCTCTCCTGTGCTGAGTGCCACCGACTCGCCAGTTCACCGCTGTGGTTTTCATCGCCAGTGCAATGAATCAGCCACTTGCACATTCAGATTTCCGGCCTCTCTCTCTCTCTCTCTCTCTTTTTAATCAGCTCCTCAATGGCCAATGCCCACACCGTGGGGGTGGGGGGGATTCACGAGGAATAACGGTTGCGCTCCCAACTGAACTGCAGTGAGTCATTTCTACTCAGTTTGCAGACTCGCCCTCTTATCTTTTTCTTCCTTGAACGCAGAGCTGTTTCTGTTGAATTGCTTAATCTCCCCCTCCCCCCCTCCCCCCTCTCCCCCCCCACTGTTCCCCTGTTAAAGGGTTTGCCATGTGGCAGATGCAAACATCATGTCTGTCTTTTGGCGGAGGGGGGGAGGGGGAGGTGGGGCTTGTGTGTGTGTGTGTGTGTGTGTGTGTGTCTGTGGGTTATTTTTTTATTGCAGATCTCAAAAGTTGATGATCTACGAATGTGGGTTATAAAATACGACAGTTGAGGCCAGCACTGGAGAGATTCTGAGTACTCGGGGGAAACAAACTTGCAGCGCAGTGCAGGCCCAATAAACAGTGCCTTTATATGATCATACGCAGTGTTTTGTGATCAAAGTACAACATTTAAAAGAATACCCCAAGATATGGCAATGCAAAGGCTCTGCTCGTGGCTTTACTCCCTAACCCATTATCTGTTGCCTCCGCTCGACTGGCTCCGACCTCCTGCTTGTTCCTTGCGCTCTTCGTTCCACCATCAGTGGCCGCACTTTTTCAGCTACTACGCCCTGGAACGCTGGAGCACTCTTCCCTCCGTCTTGTCACTTTCTTCCCCATCTTCAGATCGCGCTTGAAGATGCTCCTCTTCAGCCGTCCTTACAGTTACCTTTCCCCCCAGCTCGGCGTCATGCTCCGCCACTGTCAAGCGCTCTGGGACGCTACCCTGAGTGAGGTGCACTATATAATTGCAAGGTGTTGTTTTTAATACGGTAATCAGGTCTGAAGACGTGTGGTGAATCCTGGAGGACAAGATCATTGGTAGACCAGGAAATATTCCTTTAGCTCCCAAGGCATTTATCATATACTTTACTGTACTAACTACACGGTGAAAAGAAAATCAGAACTGTGTCCTTTTAGTTGAGGAAAACACGTTGCTAATCTGAGAGTATAATGAGATGGTTGTGACATCCTTGGGATAGAATGGCTGGGGGAGGGGCGATGATCTTATCTAGAAAGAGTGGAACAGGCTAAGTATCTGGTTGTGATCATGAGTTGTATAATTACTGGCCCATTGCTATTATCTGTAGCACCGCTGAGGTTTCCACTCAGAGAAGGCTTTCTCTGAATAAATTATTTCCTTTTTAATTTTACACAATTTGTAAATTATGCATTTTTTTTACACATGAAGCAGGTTTACATTTTGTAACGTTCAAATATTCAATATTCAAATATGACTCCTGCCAGAAATGTAGCTGAGCAAATATTTTTAAAACTGTGCTGATATTAGAAGATTATAAAACAAGACATTTATATACCAGTTTGTTAATGAACTATTTTGTGTGATTTGCAGTATACCCAGGGAATTTTCTATTATTTGGCTTGATAGAAGTACCACTATAATTGATTTTTTAAAGAGGGCAGGATAGTACGTCATTCAAAGTCGTGTTCACTGGATATGTGACAGAAGTGCTTTTAATTGCCATACTTGGTGTGGGTAATTTGGGACATGGAAATAAACCTAACCATCAAATCTCTTTTCTGTTTGAGAATCTGACCGTGAGATGCGATTTAATTTTGAAACCTTTCGAGGTCAGATATCAGAATCATGTAAGTAGATTCACAACCGGTATCTTGAGGGTAGTCTTGAGAGAGGTCGCCACTCCTTTGACGGCCATTGCTTTTACAAGGGGCTTGATTGTCACAGGGTTGCTGGCCACTTGGCTGACTACCTCAGCAGTGTGTGTTTGTGTTCTCAAGTGGACTGTGGGATTCACCAACACAGAATGGTAAAGGATTGGATGACATAACCTGATTTGTCCCATTTGGGTGGTGCCATAATCTGTAACTGGAATGATTATTAAGGGACAGGGTCAGGGCATGTCCACAGGCAGATTGCTCTGTTCTGCTTTCCCATCGAAAACGTGTAGTCTGGGACATCTGTATTCCCAAAGAAATAGGACTAATCCTTTCTATTAATTTTTTCTTCGAATTTCTCCCTTCTCTTGGCTTGCATTGGGATATGGTTCTATGGGAGCAATAGTATGTACTTACCTTAATTCACCCAAATGGTCATTGTTCATGTCGAAGACATTAGTCCTGGCAGGCTATTTCAACTTTAGGCTATTTCAACTTTAGGCTATCATAGTGAGCCCAATATTTACTTTGCCTGATGTCTACGCGTGTAGGGATCACTGAATATTGATCAGAAATAGGTACTCCAGCTTATTTTTTGTCTCCCTAGTGATGCTAAAGACAATTGTGTAACCCCAAGCACTATTACTCTGATCAGCCAACTAAGCACATAATTTGATCCTTGAACCTTCTTGGTGTATGTGCTTTAGATTATTATTAGCTGCTGAAATTACTGAGCTACTGAGAGACTCCCTGCATATGCTGTTACATAATAGACATGCAGGAATGTCAATTAATCATTAATCCTCTTAATGTTATACCCTTGTATAGTAAAGGAGCGGGAATGATTGTGTTGCTGGCTTTAGTGCCCTTGGTATGTGAAAAAAAACAGAGAACTCAATTGAAATATCCATTGCAGTTATGTGATTGAAATTGCCATAGTAATGGATGCTTGGGTGGTCATTGGACTCTATTTATAATTTAGGGTTCCAATAATGGTTGAAAACATTCCTAGTTTGATATCTGAATCTTGACTCTAAATTTCAAGGTGGGAGGGAGAATTCCAATTAAAATATTCAGAATGTTATACCCTGCTTAGTTTCACTCAATTTAAAAAGAACAGTAAATCGTTATAAAGTTATTATGATTGTTCTCTGTTTCCGTAAACTACTTGTATCCAACAAGTCCTGATCAAATTGACTGACAAAGAAACAAAAACTTGATTATGATTGCGATTTCACAGCCTGCTCCACTGGATGACATTTCCTGCTGGCGGAAAGCATTCAGCTTATTATCCTCTGATCGAGGGGGATGGTCAGTCTTGACACTGGATATTTGATGCGATAGTGATGGTTGCTTTCATAGCTAGGCTATGGGAAAAGAGTGTAGGAGTGGGACTAATTGGATAGCTCTTTCAAAGGACCGGCACAGGCATGATGGGCTGAATGGCCTCCTTTTGTGCTGTAGGATTCTATGATTTTATAATTCAAATCCTAGCAGAAGTTAAAATTGCTGCAACTGAGAGATCTCTGCAGAGAGACATTCAACACATGACTGATCTGGTGCTGCAGAAGGAAAGCCTAGTCATTTTTAATGGTATTTCAGTTTGTGTTTCTTTCCCCAGTCTTTCTTTACAAAATGTGGGAGTTGCTCCAATCTATTGCCTATTTGCTCTTCCACCGTCACGGGCTGGGAGCTGCACATTTTTATTAATACAAAGACCACAATGTTGTGTGATCTCTGAAGCTGTTCTGTTGATTGTTATAGAAGGAATCCTCTTCTTTCCCCCTCACCCACTTTAGTTTGTATTCATTCATTGTTGATCGCTTAAAAAAAAGTTTTGACTCAATTCTAGTATTTTATCATGAAAAGCTTTCTGAGGCACATTGATTGAGTAAGGAGGAAGTGGTGGAGGGGAGAGAAGGTGGCGAGAGGGTTTTGCTAATCTGTGAGTAGGTATAACCTCACGATTCTGGCAGTAACGCTTGCGTTACTTTAACCCCATGTGTGCTTGTTCCAGAGATCATCGGAAAGTGGATACTGCATCCATACAGAACTTAGTTGC